CTAAGATTAATATATGATATTACAATGCATGTATTCTAGAAGAAAGAACAAGGGAAACAGAGAGAGTTTAAGATTTTCATTGTGAAATATAAACTAAGATGTTAGATTTCAGAGTAGCAGCCATGTTAGTCTGTATCCACAAAAAGAACAGGAGTACTTATGACACCTTAGAGACTAACAAATTTATTTGAGAAGAAGCTTTCGTGGGCTACAGCCCACTACTTCGGCTGCATAGAATATCTTGATTATCACTTCAAAAGTTTTTTTCCTCTTACTTAATTAGCCTCTCAGAGTTGGTAAGACAACTCCCACCTTTTCATGCTCTCTGTATGTGTGTATATATATCTCCTCAATATATGTTCCATTCTATGCATCCGAAGTAGTGGGTTAGTAGCCCACGAAAGTTTCTGCTCAAATAAATTTGTTAGTCTCTAAGGTGTCATAAGTACTCCTGTTCTTTTTGTGGATACAGACTAACACGGCTGCTACTCTGAAATCTAACATCTTAGTTTATATTTCACAATGAAAATCTTAAACTCTCTCTGTTTCCCTTGTTCTTTCTTCTAGAATACATGCATTGTAATATCATATATTAATCTTAGAACTATCTGTATTCTCCTTGTCTGTCCATGTCCATGTTACCTATTTCTTTTAAATTGACAGATGATCTTTAGGTTGCAATCCTGCAAATACATATTAAGTCAGTGGAACTGCTCACATAGGGTATGTCTACACTACAATTAGACACCCGCGGCTGGCGTGTGCCAGCTGTCTTGGGCTCGCGGGGCTCAAGTTAAAGGGAAGTCTGAATGTCTATACTGCAAGTAAACAGTCACTTGGCCTGAGCCCTGCGAGCCTGAGTCAGTTGGCATGGGCAAGCTACAGGTTTTTAATTGCTATGTAGACATACCCTTACTTAAAGTTAATCACATGCTTGAAGGATTGGACCTTTAATCTGTAATTAGAAAATGACACTTTATTGCACATGCTAACATTTTAATTATAAAGTGAGTAAATACATATGATGAGGTATTCACATTGTCATATGCATTGGTATTGCGGATATATATCAGTCCTGATCCATCAGTCCTTACTCAGGTAATACTATTTTCAGTTTCTGTTTGCATAAGTAAAGACAGCAAAATCAGGTCCATACTCTAACTTTCCTTTTTTTTTTTTTTTTAAGTCAAGTAGTTTTGTATAACACTTCTAATATTTGTTTTCCTTTATCTTAGAAACAAAATCTCAGGTATATGTTCACCCATATGCTTGAAGGAACTGAAAGTTTTAAACATTAGTAAGAACAGTATTTCATCCTTGGCTGTTAATTTTCTCAAGGAGTGCACAAAATTGGAGCTATTTAGTGCCAGGATGAATTTACTTGGTAAGTATTCTAGGAGTTGCTAAAAAAAGAATGAGAGAGGTTTAGATGATACATGGTATAGTCCAGATAGGGACAAGGCAAAGCAGAACAGTTAATGTAAAGACTGCTTGAAAAACAGCAAGGTCTAATATACAGTATTAGCCTCCTAAACATTCATCAATAGTTACCACACTATATCCATTAGCCACAGTTTACCACAACAATTATCACATATACAATACTATTTCCCTATGCTTGCCATAGGAAATAATTGTTGCATCTCAGGTACTGAGGCGTGGTAATTGTTGATAAATAGTAACTTGAACTTGATTCTTTTCTCATGCCAATTTTACCTCAGTATAACTCCATTTATTTAAATTTACACTGATTTAAGTGAGATTAGTGAGCCTTTTGAGTGTCTGCAAAGATTTCTCCTGGTACTGTCATCTGACTAAGCAATACAGAGTATGATTCAATGGCTTAAAACATTTTATACAAAAAATTAACAACTAATTTGAGAAACTGTAATAAATGAATCACCTGCCCTAATGAATTTATAGAAGTTCTTAAATTATTATTAGAATTTCTTACGTCTATCCAACATATAGAATTTTTTATTTTGCACATGCTTATAATCTAGTTTCTCAGTCTTTCAGAAGGTAGCTGTTATGTAAGAGAAGTTTTAAGCAATCTTTTATGTACATATGGTATTTTACTACATTGTTGGAATGACAAGCATATATAGTATTAGTAACACAGCAAAATGTAAATAAGAATATTTCAATGTTGGATAACAATATGAAATTAAATATAGTGTCTAATAAAAGTTTTTTAAAAATGTAGAAATATTTGGAGAAAACAGGTATTTTAATTATTCTCTAAACTCTTCAAATTGGGAGCTCACTTTTCAAATGGGAGTTCCTGAAAAAGAAAATCCAAATCCTATCTTTGGAGCTCAAGTCAACACTTGGGTGATTAAAATGGTTATTTACTCCTCCAAGTGCAAATTTGAACGCCAAAAAATAGAAACAGATACCAGTGTTTGGAAACTAGCCTCACAATCTATCTCTAATTTTAGAAAATGACAGCTTTATAAACTAAGGTAAAAAGTGCTGAAAAATGATGCCTAAAGGAAATAATTCAGTTTCTTTTCTATTTTAGATACCATACCTAACTTGCCATCTAGCATAACAAATTTAAAATTATCTCAAAATCATTTTGTCAGTATTCCAGAAGCGATTCTTCTTCTTCCACAGTAAGTTATTTCACCTGTTAAGGCCAATGTTGTGTCCTCTGTGAAGGAAAACCTAGTGGAATGGCCATTATTAAGCAGAAAATACAGCATGTTTCTACTCAGCGTTTTCAGCAAATCATGCTAAAAAGTCTAAATCTAAAACATGGTGACCATTTACTCAAGCTAGAGTAGGTCACTTTTTCTTCAATAACTGCAGAAAGCCTGAATCCCCTAGGTAGTTCCAAACTATGAACCTCTCTTTTTTTGTAAACTAAAA